TGGCGAGCCACCACTTGGACTGCTAGTGGCCACAGGGCTGCTGGCCGCAGCAGGAGCATGGGCCCCGCATGTCGTGGAGACCATGTCCTTCCCTGCCCTGGGTGCAGCAGGCTACACCAGACTGCTCCAAACAGATGGTATTTCCTTCAAAGAAACAGTCTGTCAAGAGGACAGCTAATCTATGGTCCCGCAGAGACCCCAGTCTTGACTTTAGCTCAAATATTCCAGAGGACAGTGTCTTCAAAGTTATCAAACAGGGGTTTTCTAGATCACGCTGATGTGGGACCTCTTTCTAAGCAGACATCTGCAAGCAGACCTCTGAGCAGACAGGGGTTGGAAGCAGAGCTGAGGACAGCAACCACTGGTTGCACTCAAGAGAGGCAGAGCAGGGAGCACCATGCAGGACTCAAAGGAGGAGAACAAAGGCACAACCCAGCTCTCTGAGAGCAGCAAAGGCTGGCTGCTCCCCACGGGCAGGTGAGTCAGAAGCCAGGGGTGCACCCTGAGGAGGCAATGCCCACGCTGGCGGGGGTCCATCCTGCCGGGTCTGAGCACAGCAGGCAGAGCGAGTGTTGGCCACAGCTCCAGGCAAGGCGAGCAGTCAGCCAGGTCCAATGTGCTGGACAAAAGGACACAGTGCAAAAGGCAGGGCTGGAAATATGCTACATCATGGACCTGAGCAGTCCATCCAGGAAAGAAGCCATCTACAGCTCAGGTCTAAGATCCATCCAGAAAACAAGGCCAGGGCGGGGACTGGAGACCAGTACTCACACAGTACAGCTCAGGTTAGGACTGAAGTCCCAGGGCCAGCCTGAAACCAGCCTCATGGGGCCAGGTAAAGGTCCCAGATGGGACCAGTCACCAGTCGTTAAGGCCCGCTGGTGCCCTCAGGGACAAGACAGTTTATCCTGAAAGAGCAAATCACACCAGCCTGGCTGCCTAATCGGGTCTCTCACGCTCCATAGGCCCTCAAGCTTCTGCTGTAGCTCTTTGGGCTTACACAGCGGCTGCTCAAGACACGTTCTGCTGCAGCCAGCTCTGCATCTTGCACAAGGCCTGGCACCATGGCTGTGCTCCTGCAGAGATACAGAGGCACAAGGACTAGGGAGGGGGATTCTTCAGAGAACCAGAGAAACACAGGGTAACCAAGACCAGGAGGACCTCCAAATGTCTCTGGTCTGAGCTCAAGCCCAAAGCAGGCACAACTTAGAATGGGTTGCTTAGGATCATGTCTGGGTCAGTTGTGAATATGTCAAGGAATGGAGATCCCACAGCTTCTCTTTTTTTTCTTCTTTCCCCAGTCTTTTAACACCCTCAGGCTGAATTTTTTTTTAATCTGTCTCCATTTTCCCTCCCTTCCCTTATGTCCATTGCCTCTCATCCTATCCTTGTCCACCTCCAAGGAAAGTCATAGAATCATAAGGTGATAGAATAATTTAGGTTGGGAGGAATCTCTGGAGGCCATCTAATCCAATCCCTGCTCAAATCAGGTCCTTGTATGGTCCAGTCTTGAACACCTCTAAGGATGAAAATCCCACAGCCTCTCTCTGGGCATCTGTTCTAATATTTTACCAACCTCATGTTAAAAAAAGTCCCTATTTCTAACTGGAATTCCTGTGTTTCAACTCTGATCCATTGCTTCTCATTGAACCACCATAAACCTCCTTGAACAGCCTGGCTCCATGTTCTCTGTACCCTCCCATGAGGTCGCTGTAGTCAGCAATAAGACCTCCCCGTTGCCTGCTCTTCTTCTGGTGGGGCAAGCCCAGTTGTCCCAGGTTCTCCTGACATGTCCTAAGCTCTGCGCCCCTGACCAGTCCGGTGGCCTCCTCTGGACTCGCTCCAGTCTATCAATATGTTTCCCGTAATGAGGGGTCCAAAACGAGACACGGTGCTCCAAGGAGCCTGACTCCGTCTGCTCTCCACCCTCCCACCAGGCAGCTGTAGGCAGCAACAAGATCCCACCTCCGCCTTCCCTTCTCCAGGCTGAACAAGCCTGTCTTTCTCAGCCTGTCCAGGTAAGTCGTGCTCCTGCTTCGACTGTCTTGGTGGTCTCAGTGGGACGCCTGGGGTTCTAGTTGCTGCCATGCACGGGGAGCCCCATGCAAGGCACAGCACTCCAGCTGCCGCCTCACACATGGAAATGAATAATCCCTTCCCTCACTCTCCTGGATGCATTTGTCCAGATGCAGTCCAGGATGCAGCAATAAACAGTTCTGTGCCACAACTGTGGCTCTTTCAATGCCAAACTTACACCGAGCAGGAGCTGGGCCCCAGGACACAGCTGGGGCTTCAAGAAATCCCCTCTATGGCCTTCCCCCTGCCTGCTTTGCCAAACCCCAGCCATAGCAACCTGGAAAAGCTGGCTGGGGTCTGGAAGCTGTTGGTGGAGCTCTGCTGAGGGTTGCTGCCTGCCTTTGTTTGCATCTGCTGCTGATCAGAAGCAGCAGCACATCAGGGCATGCACCGGAGCCTCCGTGACCACACAGCCATGCTGCAAGCAAACAGCCTGTGACAAAATCCCAGCCTGCTCCTGCCATCCTTGCTGTCCAGCACAAGGTGGATGCTGGGGTACAGAAGTCCTCACAACTCAGAATACCATGGGTATCAGTCCCTAGAATAAGGATGGTCTGGTATTTTCTGTAAGAAATCCATGGTGTAAGCACTCCTAGTAGCAGAGCAGGGCTTGGAGTGGGACCGTTTTACGTCGGTGTCACCTCACATTTCCCAAAGGGCCCTTGTGACTGCGGCAAGGGGAGACCGCAGCGCAGATTGCGCAAGAGGCAGCGTGGTGGTGGCAGGCCAGGCACGTCAGGAGGCACCCGGAGCGGCACTTCTGGAAGTTCAGTGCAGTCTGCAGGAACACTCGAGTACCTCTTCCCTGAAAGGTCTAATGGGGTCCCCAGCGGCTGTTGGGCGATGCCGACTCTGGAGAGAGTGATTTACGCCTGACGTTTGATTTCCATCCAGAGGGGGAAGGTCACCTGGGTAGTTACTTGGGAGTGCCCAGAGGATGCCGTTCCCTGGGGAAACCCTGACGGGGCAGCGGGGCAGCCAGGCGCTGTGAACTGCGGTCGTTTTAAGGCATTCACTTATTGGCACCAAATTATTTGCTTTTCTTCTGAAGAAAGCTCTTCACCTTTGTGAGACACAGCCTCCATTGTCTGAGGACATCTCACTTGATGATGAAGAGCAAACAAGCCGTAAACCACCAGTCCGGTTGCCAACCCGAGGACAAGTGCTGCAGTTCAGGTCTCGTGCCTCCACCCCCTCAGCTGCTGAGCCCTATAACCTTCAGGCCGGACACCCCTCCGGCCAGGCCAGACCCGCTCGGCGTCCCGCTCCACAGGGTCCCCGCAGAGACGGCATGGGTGAGTGCGGGCTGGGCTGGGGTGAGGGGACGGCACCGCTGCGTGGGGCTGCGGCTCGCAGCGCACCCCAGCGGCTGAGCCTTCCGCTCCCTCCGCCCCGCAGCCCGGCTGTCCCAGTGCTGGGTCCATTGCACTGTCAGGGCTCGCTGTGCCCTGGGCTGGGAGCTGGAGCAGGAGTCTGCGTTTTCTGCTGTTTTCAGGCTGTATCAGCGTAGCCCTGGAGTGCCAGATAGCCCACTTCACAAGCTTCATATTTACCAGACGTTCTTGGTGATTTTCATTTCTCCAAGTGAAGTATTAAATACCATAGAATAGAATAAAGATTTTTTTAGACACTCTTGCTTAAGGAGCGGTATTGAACAGGTGTGAAGGTCTGGAGGTTAGATGATCGATTGGGTTGGACTAGACGACCCACAGAGGTCCCTTCCAACCCCTAACATTCTGTGATTCTGTGAAAGCACACTGCTGTCCCCAGAAGTGCACGTGGGAGAGGCTGACTCTCTCCCCTGCATCTCCTTCCTACCCAGACCTTCCATGACCATTCATGGGGGAACAGGCCGGCAGTGGAGGGAACATTGCTTCTCTGGTGGCCTAAAGCAGAGATGTCTTTAAACACGCCTCTAAACACAAGTGTATCAAGACACTAAATAATATGTAGGAATTGAGAAACAAATCAGTTTGGACTGAAGTGTCTTTGAAAGACATTTGCTGTAAAACTGTAACCAGCACAAATGATTGGGACGACTCTGAGCATCCCTAGAAAGGGGTGCTTGTCTCTAGGGTGGCTGCAATCGCACACAGCAGTGTAATCTGCCAGGGTGAGCTGCATATGTCATACCGTGGGCAGATTTCCCCGTGGGCAGGTGTCTCCACAATGCCCCGCTCTCTAGGAATCGTGATAAACTTTCAATTATTTTATTTAGACTTAATATTGCAAGAAGTGTGCTGCTTTCCCTAGCTGCTCTGGACAAGAACAAAGCAGAGCAGCTGGCTACATATGGAAATTTTGAAGTAGCCATATAACCATGTAAAGGACATAATCTGCACCAGCCAGGCAGTAATTCCTGGAAGGTTCTGCTGCCTCTCTCAGTCATGCTGCTTTCATGCAGGGCAGAGAACTACACACAGACCTGCCCGGGGCTTGCTCCCACCCAGACGTCTGGGTTCTTACTGCCCACAAACCTGGACCAGAGGCAGGTGCAGTACCAGTTTACACGGTGTGAGTGTGTCATGGGAGCCTGATGGGAGCTGGGAGGAAAGGGGATTCCTCCCTCTGTGCTCACCCTGCTTGTTATCTCCAGCCCTGAGACCTGGGTTTTACAGAAATTTCTGATTACAGTCATTTTGCATTTGGGCAAGGTTTTCACACTTCTTCTGTCTCAAAAACCACCGACAGCAGCTGCCACCGCTAATGACTCCTGCCAATGAGTACATGAAGGCTCATCTAAATGAGTGAGTTGGGGCTTATGGCTCCAAGAGGGAGCTCTACGCGTAAATAATTTTATTTTCTTATTTCACTCTGCAAGTAAAGGAGTCAAATTGAAATCATGGCTCTCTAATGGAAAAGTGATGATCTCTTTCTTCTTTTCCAAATCTCTTCCCATTTCAGCTACCCAGCGCCTTTGCCTCCTGCTTTTCACCTGCCTGCTGGCCGTGGCAGCGTCTCTTCCTGCCTTTGACATAAAAAACTTGCATCTCCTCAATGGCACACTGGATGAAATTATGAATTTTCTCCCAGAGTCCTCCCAGCTTGGTAAGTATACCACTACAACAGGGAGTGGCCAAAAAGGTCACGTTCAGCCAGAGCCTACGCAGACCTCCACACCAACCTGAGCACACCCCTGTTATACAGAGGAAGGACTAAATACTGTTCTGTGTGTGGGTAGTGCCAATGCAATGTAGGCTGTCTTACTGGAACAAGAACCTCCTCAGAGTCCTCCTCTGCTTGTTGCCTATCTCTTCTCCAGTCTGGTGTGAAGTTCTTCTGCCCATAAGAGAGTCCAGTGGTCCAAAGCCCAGAGTTCACAGGATCCCAGGAGGAGGTACAGGTTTGGTCTCATTGGCAGTAAGACTGAGCCAGGGGTGTTCTGGGCCACAGGCTCTTCTTGGAGAAGTAGTGTTAAAGATGTGAAGGCAAATAATCAGTGTGTTTTCAGGACACAGAGAACAGTAGCCACCTCTGGAAATCACAAGGTCAGCAGTGAACTGAATTCAAGAGTGAATTAAATATAAAAAGGAACCAAGGGAGGTTACTACAAAGAACAGTGACACTGACAGGGAGCAATCAGCCAGGTGATGGCACAGGGTAACCTACAAACACAGGGTATATTGGAGCAATGAGGAAGCCTCTGAGAAACACTCCTGGCAGAAAACTGGGGGGCTGTGGGTGGGACTTGACATGACAGAAAGAGTCAGTTCCCTTCCAAGGGAGGAGGAAGAGTTCTTGGCAGAAAGGTTCAAGGTTCAAGTGCTTGATGCTGGTTTCACACCAGCCTTCGCTGTAAAGGTCAGTTGTCAGGAAACAGCCAACACGAGGGGAACCCGTGACTGAGGCAAGAGCTTGGGCTTCACCAAGAACACAAATCTGAGTAGAGAAAGGGGGTGTACTCTGGGCTTCAACTCATCTCTCACCCAGACCACTGGCATGGTGCTCTGAAAACACGAGCAGCATGAGCGCAAGATGGGTAAGCAGGGAGGCATGCCGGAGAAGACAGGCTAACACTAGAAAATCTTGACTTGTGATAAGTCCTTCCAAACGGATGGGAAGTGAAGGCAGAAAGGAGCAGGGGCAGACTGTGTCTTACAAAACAAACGTGAGTGAACAGCTTCATGCGGCTGTAGTGAAAGACAATGCCATGGTAGGAAAGGCCTCCAAACCACGTCACATGAGTGTCTCCCACTCCACAAAGGCTCAAGCCATCCACCACATTCACTGGTGGCCTTCAAGACCCATTTGGAGAGAGTCAAAAGGAAGAAAGGAGTCAAAAATCTTGCAGGCAGACTGTGTCTGGGAAAGCTGAAGAGCTAAATGTCTTAGCCCCAAAATCAGAAGACCATGGAGGAGGGAATGACAGTAATATTACAGTCTGTCTGCAGGAAAAAGTGTATTCTGGGTGTAGTAAGAGAAGGAATGGGCTTATACACAGTGCAAGAGGCTTAAGGTAAACACTTCTTAAGGGCAGGGATAGGAAAGCATCAGCTGAAAGCAAAAGCGGGGAGCAGATATTTGAGGGTGTCAAAGGCCAGCAGCTGCAGGGTTAGGCATCTGCTTCAGAGAGGGGACAGGAATGCTTTTCGTTATTCCCTAAGCCTGTGATTCATTCCTTTGTTTTACAGCCGTCAGTGGATACACACAAGGCGTCCTTGCAAAAGAATTGCATGAATTCACTCTAAACCATCCTCTCTTCCAGCAACACCCTGCAAATTCCCTTCTGAGCCAGCTGAACAGAGCCCCTCTCCCAGCTCCTGATACCTGCACCAGTTCTCCTGTGTCTGCTCTCACGTTTCTCCCTCCGCTAATCCCTTTTCTTCCGAGTCCCTTCCTAACTGCTTCTACTGCACTTCAACAGCCATCTTTCCAGTGTTGCCACCACCATTTGGGGTCTTTCCCCCACACGGTGCGCCGAAATCCTCCTCATCAAGAAAGCATCTGCCCCATGCTAACATCACGTGAATTCCCTCGAACCACCAGCTGACCGGTATCTGAAATGGTAAAGACTCTCTGGAACCAGAAGCAACAACAGAAAAACAGGAACATCATCTATAGAAGGTCATGCTCTCCCAGCAGGCATTTGACATGTCTACTCACAGCACTCACTCCTGTCCCCTCTGTTCTTGTTAATACAGATAATGGTGATAAACACATTCGAGAGGTCAGAGACATTGCTCCCCGCCCACCAGCAGGCCACAGTAAGTCTCTTCTCAAGGACTATATCTGCTCATAAGGTTGCACCGCTGCTGGGAGCCTAGAGGCTCGTGAAGAGCTGTCAGCCACCTTAGCCCATGTCCTACACGTGCACTGGCTTCTCCCAGGAAAAATGCTGATGTTGAGGTGCCCCAGCTCATAACCTCAGGGGAACTCTGTTACCAGCCATGTCTTGGACTCTGTAGTTGATGAGGATCTTTAGCATGGGGAATTTTCCACCCAAAAATCCTAACTAGAAAGTGATGATTTTGGGCCTTTGGGAAGTGGCAATTGATTATTTTCCTATTTTCACTATACAGTTGATGGGACGACTGGGTAAGACAGGAACCAATTGCGTTACTGAACTGACTGAGTCAGCATTAGCCCATAGGACCACAGGATATGGCTTCACTGAGTAGGAATAACCAGTAGCAGAGGTACTGGGAGCAGAGCAAGTCCCTTCCCAGAAGTGTGTAGGTGCATCCAGCTGTTTGTTGTACAAGGGGCTGACACGCTGGAGCATGGAAAGACCATAATCAAATCAAGCAAGTCAAGAAGTCTCTAAAGAGCTACTGGGGTAAGCCCAGAGAAAACCAGTGGGTTTGCCCTGTTGAGATCAGAAGGGCTAATTTAATTACTAGTAATATGGATGTCTTGATCACACTCTCTCCAGGGTTTCTGAGGTTACTATAATGCTGTACAGCCTCCATGTAACAGCGAACAACTTTATAACCCCGATTTGCATTTGTCTGTGTGGTAAAACATCACCTGGATGCTACACATAAACCACCACAGCACTGCACGGCTGGATCCAGCCTGGGCTAGGGTGTATTGTGTGCTGGGTGAAGGCAATATCCAGCTGGATCTCACCCATCCAAGACATTTTGGCGGTCTGTCCCCATCAGTTTGAATCCTGTCTCAGGAAGATATGAAGCCCAACTCTTGCGTTGATCATTTCGAGGCTTTGATTTCTTCCTGTAAACATGTGGCAGGAACACAGCCCAATAATGTGTGTGCGATAGGATACAGGCACAAAAGAAATATCAGGTGCTTTCAATGTCTCACTGTGTGGGATTTAATAACCATCTCTGTTCCCTGCCCCAGGCTGGCCCAAGGACTGCAGTGAGGTCCCCCGTGGCAGCCGCAGCGGTGTCTACATCATTCAGCCAAAAGGGCTCCACCATCTCGTGGTGTACTGCGAGATGAATGTGACCAACGGGGGCTGGACGGTCATCCAGAGGAACCAGAAAGACACACCGGTCACCTGGGCTGAGTCCTGGAGCACCTACAAGTACGGCTTTGGGAGCGTGCGTACCGAGTACTGGCTGGGCACCGAATACATCCATCAGATCGCCAAGCAGAAGGTCTACCAGGTCAGGTTCGTCATCCAGGACTCCACGGACAACACCAATTTCGCAGACTACAACCTCTTCAGTGTGGAAGATGAGTCCCACGGCTACCGGCTGAGGCTGGGCTCCTACACGGGGACCGCGGGCGATGCCATGACCTCGGACAACCCCAAGACCATGCATGACAACATGAAGTTCTCCACAAAGGATCGAGATCAGGACACTTACAGTAAGAACTGTGCCTACAGCTATGAGGGTGGGTGGTGGTACTCAGCGTGTTACTCTGTGCGGCTGAATTTCAAGGGCGGCATGACATGGGGCAGCCTGTGCAAGGGGAACTGCAAATCCTCCCTTATCCTCATCAAACCGGCTTCGTACTGTTAATGCTTCTGCCCCCTCCTGTCCACACTGGATGCTTTGTGAAGGCTCTGTGTGGCCAAAGAGCTTGAGCCTTCCTGGAGCAGAGAGAGGAGCCCAAGCGTAGCAGGGCTTTAGCAAAATGCCACTTGCCATTTCCCCTCTCTGGGTGCAGGCTCCCTCTCTGCTCAGCTCTTTTCCCCTGCGCTTGCCAATGATTCCTTGCTGTTATGTTCATAATCAAGAATTAAAAAATCAGTTGTGAGATTTGTGGATTCCACATGTACCTTCCCAGTGGGAGGAAGACACTCAGCCCTGGAGTGACTTTTCATCTGAGTTTCTTAGCTGCCTCCAGAAGTCACGGCAAACACAAAAGCTACATGCCACTAATTTCCATATACTCTGTGCCTCTCCACAGCATCTGGTGAAGCATCCCAATAAATTTACTTCCTTGAGCTCATTCTCCACTAACAAACGTCTGTTTGGTATCTCTGATGTGCTCCCACTGAGACCCAAGAAACCCCACATCAGCTTCTAGGCCTGGAGTCTTGGGGCTAGTTACGCTGAGATAAAGGACCTGCGACCTGCACAGGAGGGTTGAGAAGGGACCTGTCACGTGGGAGGACTCTTCCCACATCACCACCACGTCCACAGTCCGGGGTCAAAAGCTGTGGCGATGTCCTGGTGCCGAGGTGCCGCTCCCGCTGGCAGGCTGCGCCTGTCAAGATGTGTCACTGTCTGCGCAGCCATGCTTTGACCCTGCAGAAACACGGCTTCAAAGTCGTCAGTAGATCGGTCTGCTGTAACTAAGAAGCAGTGAACTTCAGTGTTAGGAATCGCCTGAATTAGGAGACACGCTAATGAGCGAAGAGCTCTTCACAGGAATGGGCTCACCATACCCAGGTTTCTGAGACCAGTTCAGGTGAACCTTTGCCAGGAAAGGTGTAGACAAAGCTGATGCTGTGAGGCTGCAGGACAAGGCCCCTACAGCTCCTCCACCCCACGACACTGTGGCACTGCCAGGACAGACCGTTAGAGAAGTGTTTTCACCTTCACAACCCATTTCTGGCTTTGTCTTGGGGCAGCACAGCAACAGCAGTGAGTTCCACCTCCAGGACCAAGAGCTAAGGGAAAACCCAGAGCAAAGCCCAGTGCTCACTGGAGCCATCCAAAAAGGTTTGAGAAGTTAGAAAGTAATGAAAGAAGTGAGCAGTGGAGGATCCCCGAGCCAGAAAGTACCTGACACTGCTCCAGAGAACTGCGCTGAGCACGGCAGAGCACGGGGGCACTGGCGCCTTGGGATGTCTGAGGAAGCGGAGAGCTCAGGGCTACTTCTGCTGAAAGCAGCTCGGGGTGAAGCAGGTTGCTCTCGCTCTCCTGAGAGCCGACAGCACCAAGCTCTGGGCCCCCCAGACCAGAGCACCGAGGACTGCTGGGACCTCAGAGCACAGCCCAAGCCTGCCACGCAGCAGGCACCACAGCACGGGGAGGGGGGCACAGGGCAGCACCACGACAGAATCACAGAATCACTAAGGTTGGAAAAGACCTCTGAGATCACCATATCCAACCATCAACCCAACCCCACCGTGCCTGCTAAACCATGTCCTGAAATGTCACATCCACACGGTTTTTTAATCCCTCCAGGGATGGGTACTCCACCACCTCACTGGGCAGCCTGGTCCTATCCCTGACCACTCTCTCAGTAAAGACATTTTTCCAAATATCCAATCTAAACCTCCCCTGACACAACTTAAGGCCATCGCCTCTCGTCCTGTCGCTGGTTACCTGGGAGAAGAGACCAACCCCCCTCACTCCACCCTCCCTTCAGGCAGCTATAGAGAGCCATGAGGTCCCCCCTCAGCCTCCTCTTCTCCAGACTGAACAGCCCCAGCTCCCTCAGCCGCTCCCCATCAGACTTGTTCTCCAGACCCCTC